CTCCCCCCACCCAGGCCCAAATGGTCCCCTCCCTCTCCTCCCACCCCCCCCCCCCCCCACTACACATAATTCGGGTTATAGCAAAGCATATCAAACTCCAGATTCTCGTCCCAATGCCGCAGGAGCACGAACAGCTGGCGGGCGGCCGCCTTGAGCGTGCCCCGCGTGCGGCCCTCGGGCACCTCCTGCTGTTCCAGCCACGAGTTGGCTTTGGCGGCCACCAGCTCCCACTCTACAAAGTAGGAGGCCGAGCTGTGCTCCAGCCACGCCAGCGCCACCACCGTAGCCCAAAGCTTCCCTGTGTGTTCGATCGCAGCCCTGGTCTCCCAGCCTGGCTTGCCCCCCACCAGAGGCTCTGGGGAGAAGCCATCACAGGACAGGTGCTGGGCCGAGGGGCCGGCTGTGCACAGCTGGGGACTTGGGGTCTTGGGCTCAGGCTGGCGGGTGAGGGGCACTCGGTGGCAGGTGAAGGGTGAGGTCCACTTGAGCTTCTCCATGGGGACGTGGATGGCCTCGCAGAAGGCTTGGTTGAGCAGGAAGGCTCCGGAGGCCAGCTGCAGAGACACCTGTGTGGGGGGGAGCCCCTCAGTGGGCCTCAAACTTTTCAGCCTGTGCAGCCCCGGGCCGGGCAAAAGCCTGGGTCCACACTGCCCGCCCGCTCATCTCCCCCAGCCTGCCCCTCCTGCCTGGGAGACCTGAGGGGTACCCAGGCCAATTAAGCCTCTCAGGATTGCCTGGTTCCTGGTCTGTGTCCCCACAAGACACTTAGTGCCATGAACTTAGGGACTCTGTTCATCCAGTTCAAGGTTGTCTCCCAGGGTCTAGCACTGTGCCTGGCTCAACAAATACTTACCGTAAGCACAGTGCTGTGCTACTCAGGATATTTGGAAATTCAAAGTGACACTATGCCTCGGGAGTGTAGGGACTGGGGCTGTGCGGTGAAAAGCTCACACCGCGTCCGTCTCCCAGCACCCTCTGATCCCCAGATATGCTGGGGCCAGGCCCCTTTGTTCCTCAATTCGGAGACGCCCCCGCCAGACCTGGGCACCTCACCCTGCCCGCAGCACGCCGGGCTGTCTGCAGAGCCACTTACTAAACACATCGCGTGTCCCTGGGGTGTTAATGTTACTCACTTGTGAGCTATTCCAAGGCTTATTTTTATGTCTTGAAAAATAAACACACATAGGTGGTGGAGTAGAATGCAAAATACCTGTGAATTTTTAAAGCAAAGACAGCGGATTGCAAAGAATGTTCACGATGCTGGTGCTGGATTCGAGCGACACTCTGAGGCCCCAGGCCCTTTCCCTGTTGGCTACTTGGGTGGGAAGGTGTAGGTCTTCTTCCCTTTGTGAAGGGGGAGGGGTGGGCAGGAGGCTCACAGGAAGGCCCCTCGGGGAGTGTGGGGGGCTGAGGTCTAGGGTCTGGGGCCACTCACCAGCGGGATGTAATCGAAGTTCTGGCTCCCTGGGGTTGGCTCCGGAGCCTTGGTCAGCGGCTTGCTCAGGAAGCCCTTGGCTGCTCGAGTCAGCAGCCTGGACTTGTGCAGATTCAGCCTGTGTGGGGGGAACCGGGGACAGGTGGCCGTAGCTGCCCCCATGGTGTCCCTGGGAATCTCCCCCCTCCCCCGTGCTCACTCAGCAGCTTCTGAAAGTCAGGGCCAGAAAGAATGTGACAGATGGCTTCCTCCGACCTCCTCATTTGACAGCTGGGGAAACTGAGGCCCAGGGAGGGAGGTTTGCATTTCCCGAGACATTCAGTGAGTTAGCGGCAGCCTGGACGAGGAACGTCCCGTATTCTTCTTCTGACCCTCTTCTGATCATGTATTCCTTTCAGCCCCGGGGGTCAGAGAGTCTTGGGGCAGCCCTCCCAGGGGATTTGCACCTGCATAGAGACCATGGACGTGTGGGGGCTTCTGCTGTGTGATGATGGGAAGATGGTGATATTTCTGGGTAGGGAGCCTCCTGGATCCCTTTCGGATTGTTCGCTTTTGTCTAAATGTCAGGCTGGGCCTGCTTTCTGCCTTTCACGCTAGGGGTGGCCCCAGGGAAGCTGATCCCACATACCTGGATCCAAAGAGACTCTCTGAGGCCTTCAAGGAAGACAGGGTATTGGTGGCCAGACTGCGCAGGGGACCTGGAGAACCACAGAATGACAGTTGGGACCTGACAGATGACCCTGTCCAATGGCTCACTCCCCAGCTGGGAAACAGTGACCCAGAACGGGGCAGGGTCCTGCCTAGGTCCCTAGGGATCCACGCTGATCATTAGGCTGTTTTTATTTATTTATTTATTTATTTATTTATTTATTTAAAAAAATTTTTTTAATGTTTATCTTTATTTTTGAGACAGAGAGAGACAGAGCATGAGTGGGGGAGAGGCAGAGAGAGAGGGAGACACAGAATCTGAAGCAGGCTCCAGGCTCTGAGCTGTCAGCACAGAGCCTGATGCGGGGCTTGAACTCACAGACCACGAGATCATGACCTGAGCTGAAGTCGGACGCTCAAACGACTGAGCCACCCAGGCGCCCCTCATTAGGCTGTTTTTGACCCAGGTGGTGTGGGGAAGGGTGAAACACGTGTGTCCACATATAAGAAATAGGCCTCCAAGTTTCCTTGGCTGGCAGCCGCTGGTATCTTCTGGAAGGTTACCCGTGGGGGCAGTGACAGTTTCTCATCAGCCCCCCTCACCCCCGAGTGGGGATACTGAGCTTCCTTCCCTGGAATATTGCTGGAGGATTCTAAGCAGAGTTAGGTGCTAGAATGCTCCCTCCGCTGGGAATTGGGAGGTCTGATTCCAGGCCTCGTGTTGTCACTAACTTGCTGTGTGACCTTGGGAAAGTCACTTCACCTCTCTGAATCTTAGTTTCCATGTCTTTCAATTAAGGATACTCCTATTTATCTCACACAGGGGCATTTTGAGGAATAAATAAACCACCAAAGACTTTGTTGGGCTAACACTCTCCTGGCTCAAGGATCAATCACTCCACTATCTTAATGAAAGAGAGAGCTGACTGCCTACTCACCTTCCGAAGCAGGATGCTTCTCGCGGCCCGGGGATGTGGTCTCTCTGAAGGGCGCACTGGGGCTTTCCTCCACATCTACAACAGAGGAACCGGTGAGGCCTGAGCCCCCTGGGCCCTCCCTTTCCCCACCTCTCCTGCCCCCCAAGGAAAGCGAGGGCAAGAATTCACAGTCCCTGGGGGGTAAGTTGGATGAGCAAGGCCAGGGTTTCCATCCATGTTTTATGGTCCTTCGTCTTCCAAAGATAACACCATCGCTCCACCGTAAGAGTCAGAGAAGCCTGGGTTCAAATCCCAACTCACCCATTGACTAGCTGTGTGACCTTGGGAAAGTTACTTCCTTTATAAACTGAGGTCGCAAATTGAGGATAATAGTATCTACCTCGCAGTGTTGTCTTAGGGATCAAGGGAGACAATACACAGATGATGGTGCCGGGTGCCTGGCCCATGGTAAGTGCTCAATAAAGCCCTGAGCTCAGACCCAGCAGAGAAGTGCAAGCAGGCCGGGGGCCTGAGGGTGGGGGGCAAGGTGGGCATTCGCTCACCAGGTCTGTGCCTCACTGAGAAGGGGCTCCTGCCAGCTCTCCAGAAGGCACGAGAACATGGCACTAACTTGTCAGAGGGCTCTGAGCTTCAGTTTCCCCATCTGTAAAATGGGGATAATAACTGAACATAGCTGGTTCAAAATGCATACTCACGGTGCTTATTCTTATGATTGTTTCAAGGGCTGGACAGTGATGGGCAATATACCATAAGGGAATTTCCAAAATATGGAAAAAGCTTCATGCATAAATGTTTATCAAAGCCTCTATGTCCCCTAGGAGGCCATTAGTGGCTCTGTGAGGGCCAGGAAGATCTGTTTATCGCTGGGGGTGCGGGAATAGCACAACAGTGCACCAGTGACTGAACGCCTGAGTGACGGAGGCACTGGGAGGCAACATGGCAGTTAGCCTCATGGCTCTGGAGCCAGACACTGCCTGGGTTCAAGTCCCGGCTCTACCAGCTGTGTGACATTGAGTAAGTCACTTAACTCCTCTGAGCCTCAGTTTCCTCATTTCTCAATGAGGAAGAGAAACCATGTCAGATAATTAGAACAGTGGCCAGCACACAGAAAGTTCTCAAGAAATGTCAGCCATTGTCATTCTTGGGGAGGGAAAGGGCTTGGGATAGAGTCAGAGTGTAGAAGTTATAGACACTTGGGTGTGAATCAGAGGTCAATTGAAAAGAAGGTATTTGTGGGGCGCCTGATGGCTCAGCCAGTTAAGCATCTGATTCTGGATTTTGGCTCCAGTCATGATCTCCCAGTTCATGGGATCGAGCCCAGCATCCAGCTCTGTGCTGACAGCATGGAGCCTGCTTGGGAGTCTCTCTCTCTCTCTCTCTCTCTCTCTCTCTCTCTCTCTCCCCCCTGCCCCTCTCCTGCTCCGCTCTTTCTCTCTCTCTCTCTCTCTCTCAAAAATAAACTTAAAAACATATAAAATTTAAAAAAAGAGAGAAAAGAAGGGATTTGTGATTTTGAAGGAAGCCATGGGCCACCAAGAACTGAGCTACGGAGAAATGAAAAGGTAGACAGAAATTTCCTCTAGACTGGAAGCCCGGCTTGGTTCAGGGGTTACAGCATGCTCCCCCCAGTTTTGGAGGCTCTGAGGGACCAAAGAAATGGCAGAGCTTTTTAATTCTGGAGTTACACTCTCTTCTACCCCTCACACACTGTTCCTTTTTTAACCCACCAGTGTCTGTAAGGACTTTCTAGTCTCTCAGGTAAAAAACGATCAGGATCTGGGTGCCTGGCCTAGTGGTCAGGTGGGACTTCTGATGTCCTTCCCATGCACAGAAGAAGGCAGCAGATCCTCACTGAACATGAGAGGGCACGAAGGAAAGTGTTAGGACCAGTGCAGCAGTTAGGCTGTCTTTGGAGGGACCAAAGGACACACGTACATTCAAGACACGCAGGGTGAAAGCGATCCCGTGAATTAGTGCAAGGCCACAAAAGGGTCGAATCATGAATGTTTAAGGACCCAAGCTGTAGGCACAAGGAAATCAGGCGAAGGCGGAAAGGAAGCTTTGGGAATCCTGACAGAAGCAGATGGTAGGACCCAACCAGATGAAACTGCCTCTTTGTTCCTGGCTTTCCCCCTGGTTTGTTAGCTGTCTTGGCATTTGCTGCCTGGGAGGACTCGGGAGACTGGAGTCAGAGAACGGCCACCGGCTTGGCAAACCGTGAAGGGGGAGACGTGGAGGGATGGCACGGGCAAGCAGGTGCCTCGCAGCTTGCTCCGCGAGGCTGTGTTGATGGTGGCATGCTTGGGCCATGCTGAGCCTCGGGGAGCCCGGGAGACCTGGCCTCACCCAGGCCCTGTGAGGACCCAGAGCGCAGACTCAGAGACTGGCCTCCGCGGCCTTGGACACGGGGCCCAGGCTTCAGAGCACGCCTGAGGCAGCTCTTACTCAGGTTCTGGAATTTGCCATCTCCTGCTGCCGAGTATTCCCCAAGGAGGGTCTGGGACCGTCTGAAGCCGGCAGAGGTTCCCCTCCGCTGTCGGGTCAGAACCTGAGAGCTGACCATCCGCCATGCAGCACCTTCACAAGGACAAGGAGAAGAGGGTCAGATGGGTACCGTTGTGTCAGTCCTTTGCCTCTCCCCCGAGGCTAGCGGGAATGATTCTGGCTTCAGTCTGTCACTTATCCAAAGGCAGAGAGACATTTTACAAGGCAAGACTGTGAACTTTGGAGCCAGAATGACCTGGATTTGAACCTCAGCCCCATCTCTTAGCAGCTGGATGGGGTGCTCACCACTCTGTGCCTCAGTTTTCTTATCTAGAAAATGGGGATAATAACCTTGCTGGGTACATGCTATTGCTGAGCTAGCGTTCAGAAAGCAGCAATGTTTTCTAGTTAGTTAAAAGGCTGGTTTTCTCAGGAACACCCCATTTTCCTTCTCTCTTAGTTTACTGTCCCAGAGACTGAGATCCCAGTTCCCCTCCCACAGGGAAGGCCCCTGAAGTTCTAGGGCCCCACCAATGGGGGATGGGTAGAAGACAGATGAAACTATAGCACCCTCGAGTATGTTTTGGGGAACCCCACTTTTGGAGAACACTAGTCTGTAAATTATGTCTTAAAAAATACCAAGGAGTTCTATGGGGAGGTAAATTTAGAAGATGCAAACTGCAGTCCATTCTCTGAGCCTCCTGATGTAGATTAACGTACTAAAAAAAGGCTCTGACAAGTTCTGCAATCAAAAGTTCCGAGCTTAATCCAGTGATTCCTAAATGTATTTCCTAACTAGTACTTCCTAGTTTTGTGCTGAATGGCCATGAACAGCACATGGAACTAGGGTACTGATTTCCTGGAGCACACTTTGGGAGGTACTGATCCAGGTCTTAAGGGGCTGGGGGACTTGGGTTAAGACGTGGGCCAGGTCCCCAAACCTTACAGGCTGTGGGCTACAGACACTAGGAGGACAGTCTGAGATGGGAGGGGAGGGAGAGACATCCTGAATGTCATTCAGGATGACAAAAGCCCGGTGAATGAGAATGCCCAGTGGAGGAACAGCCTGGGCTTCTGGCCAGAACTTGAAATGAGACATCTGAAAGAGGGAACGGGTCATTGATTATTTTGGTACCACAGATGAAAAATAGCAGGGGGAGTGGGGTGGGAGGGATGCACAGGAGAAATGAGGAGAGGCACATTTTGTTTTCAAACATTCTTTCAGGAGGTTTGCTAAAGGAAACAAAAAAGAAAAAAAAGAAAATGGAGGTGCAGCGGACGGGAAAATGAAATATAGGAAAGAAAAAGTACATATAGTTTATGCCCCTATGGAGGGTAACTCACCAAAAAAAAAAAAAAAAAAAAAAAAAAAAAACAAAACAAAAAAAACAACAACAAACAAAAACCAAAAACCAAAAAACCTAGAATAATTCCCCGAAGAGAGAATCTTTTCTTGTCTATGAGCCTGGCAGCATTTAGAAAGATAAGCAGCATGCAGTGTTGGGGAAGGGAGATTTCTGAACAACCTCTGGGCAGGGTCAGTTTTGCACAATACATCACAGTTTTCAACGGGCAGAACTTTGGATGTGCACTCTTACTTCTGAGAGTTAATTGGCCCCAAGGAGATAACCAGACAGGGGCATAAAGATGTTTTTTGCACCGTAATTTACAATAATCAAAAGGGGGTTAAACTGAAGGTCTAATAACACAGGGCTGGTGAAATAGGTTCTGATAAACCTTAAGAGGCGGCGGAGAGGAGCAGGAGGGAATACACACTGGAGGCAGAACGCTGGGATTCAAAGCCTGGCTCTGCCCCTCCCTGCTGTGTGACCTTGGGCAAGTAACTTAACTCCCTCTGCCTCTGTCTTCCCATCTGTAAAGTGGGGGGGGGGGGGCTCATAACAGCATCTGGGTTGCAGCGCTGTTTTGAGAATTAAGTCATTTGCTGTAAAGTGCTTTGGGACGCTGTCTAACTGGCTGTTACAATGATGAAAGTAGAAAACCCTGCAGGTATTAAAAGGGTGATACAGATTCAGCTTCGTGGAAAGATATTTTCTACACCCATAGTTTGGAAAATGTAGCGCATATTGGTATGATCCAATTCATGAAAAAATTATCTGTCTTTTGATTTCTCTACATGTAGATATTCATAGAAGTCTGGAAGGATGGTCACACCAAGGAAGTAATTAGTACTCATTTCTGGAGGACTGTCAGTTCCAAGCACTTTTATTTATTTTAGGTCTTTCTGTATTTTGGAACTTTCTCCAGTGAGCACACATTGTTCCAGTTGGAAAAATACAATAAAATCATATTCACTTGGTGGGGAAAAGGGAGTGGGGTGGTTTCATGGCCTTCTGCAGAGCAGTGGGAAGGGGGCTCATGCGCCCCCCACCCTATGGTGACCAAGTCATCTGCCAGGGGCCCCTTTTGCTTCTAGGTCATTCCTTGTACTCCTCTCGGTGGGCCTATGCTCCTTTGTGTCTCAGTTCCCCTCTGCCGGCCAAGGGGGGCACTGCTTGTTCCTCAGGCATGCCCCAGCCACCCATCTGCCTTACCAGAGTTGGGGTACCCCACCACGGTGGGCAGGTACCGGCTCTCGCTCACGTCCACAGGAACAAAGGCCGTGTATTTGCTGATGATGTTGCAGGCCTTGCTGGTGTGCACAGCGTTTACCTGGTAGCGGCGGCTGGACCCTGCAGAGGGAGAAGTTGGGGGTCAGTGTGCAGGCTCGGAAAGTCCCCCTTGACGCGGAAGTTCTGGAAGCTAAAAGAAGGGCTAGACCAGTGGTCCTCATCTTTGGGATTAAATAAGCCTTTAAGGGGTGCCTGGGTGGCTCAGTTGGTTAGGCGTCTGACTCTTGATCTCAGCTCAGGTCATGATCTCAACGGCTGTGTGGGTTTGAGCCCCTCATCGGGCTCTGTGCTGGCAACGCGGAGTCTGCTTGGGATTCTCCCCTTCTCCTCGCTCTCTGCCCCTCCCCCACTTGGACTGCTTCTCTCAAAATAAATAAATAAACTTTAAATAAATGGATAAATAAATAAGCCCTTAAAATTGAGGGGATGCCTTGACCTTAGCCCCCACCCCAGATTATTAACCTCTGTCATCATTTCCTAAAAGGACATTTTAATGTCAAAGAGCTAAGACGTCTTAAGACAAAAAAGATAGTTACACTCCTTAAATAATTTCAGCATTATTAAAAAAATCCTCTAGGGGCGCCTGTCTGGTTTGGTCTACTGAGCATGTGACTCTTGATCTTCGGGTTGTGAGTTCAAGCCCCACGTTGGGTGTAGGGATTACTTAAAAATAAAATCTCAAAAAAAACCCCCAAAACCTTTCTGTTGTCTGTATTTTCCATTTTCATTTTGCAGCTATCTGGTAAAAACTTTGTAGCAGGACTTTGCAGGTTCCCTGACTGGGTGGGGACCCCTGGTCTGGCCCATTGGGACAATCTTGCTGAGAAGAATGAAAACCAGAGAGGGAGAGGGGCGAACACAGGGTCACACAGCGAGTCAGTGATGGATCTGAATCCAAGATGGTCTGACCCCAAAGCCCAAGCCCTTTCCATGGAACAGGTGAGCAGTCTCTGGCTTGCTGCCTCCAGAGGGCTGTCTGTGTGAGGATCCAAGGAGATAAAAGGAGTACAAGTGGTTCGTAAACTGTAAGGTGAGGTGCTCATGGAAAGAAAACGATGATATATATTAAACGAAAGTACAGGGGCGCCTGGGTGGCGCAGTCGGTTAGGTGTCCGACTTCAGCCAGGTCACGATCTTGCGGTCCGTGAGTTCGAGCCCCGCGTCAGGCTCTGGGCTGATGGCTCAA